TTTAAAAAAAAAAAAAACTTTGATTGCTTGTTCTCTTTTGTTATTTCTTTGAAACTGATTCCACACTCTCAGGTCTGCCGTGCGGGGCTTCTCTATGACCATCAGCCTGGGTACAGCTGCTGTGAAGAGAAGCACGTCTCTTTCCTTCTGAACTCCACTGACGTTTGCTGTGGTGGCCAGATCCGAGATGCACAGCCAGACCAGCAGTGCTGCTTTGGGAATTACGTTAGAATTCGTTCAGGTTAGTGACATTTCTGAGTATCCTCAGCAACCTGGGGAACTTCAGGGAACACAAACACATGATGCAAGTCAGCAAACTCAAGCGTCCTCCCAGCCTAAAAGCTAAAACAAAAGTAGGAAACTTATGAACTCTGAAAAATGGCGCGTAAGTTCAATATTTACCTTTTACACGGGCTATGGCATTGAAGAGCTGTCCAATTTATAGTAGACTAATTTTAAATCCTCGTTGTTAATAACTAAATCCAACAAGATAAGCTTATTACTGTTGGTTTAGGAAAGCTACCTGAAGAACTCGGGCTTAGGCTTCAGGTTTAAGCCCAATTTCTTTGCTCTTAGATGGCTTTTGAAAAGGGACCACTGAGCTAGCGGTGCTGCTGAAGACTGTGATGTTGTGCTCTGCGGTGTCCGCTCTGAGCTTAGTGCTTCATGAATGAAGTAGGCAGCACTCTGTAGAAGTGGTTGATTTTGCCTGATTGATGTAGCGCATCCCAAGTATACATTCTGAGTCTACTTCTTAGCCACTGTTCAGTATTTGATTTGTTGTACATGTGGCATGTCTATCTCTAAGACCTCAAGTGAAGATGCAAATAATTTTTTGATTGTTCAAGCACATGATTTCTTCCATAGCTCCTGGAGAAAGCACAGAGTTAAAAGAGCTTTTCAAAATTAATTTCCATATAAATTTCTTTTTGTAATGTGACAGTCTGTGACATATATATATGGATTGCCTTATCTGAAGATTGAGTTCATAAATAAATGATCATATACATTACAAAGAAAATTCAATTTATTTAACAAAAAGAAGGATCAGTGAAAGGTAGTTTCTACACATGTGGCGTTTTCAAGTTAAGAAATCATTAAAATAAAAATATATATTTGAAGGAAATTGTTCATTAACAATTCTAAGCACCTCCACACTGGAAGCATGTCAAAAGATAATTCATATTTATAAAATGTTAAAATAGAAAGCAAAGCTCACTTGAATACAGAGAGGAAAGTTGCATGGTATCAACTGACTTGGAATTTGTAGGATGCTGTAAAATACATTTTTTACATCTATGAAACATAAATAATATGGTTGACATTCAAGGCCTTATGAGAAAATATAGCACATGAGATATAATGCTCTTAAGTGAATTTAAAAAAAAAAAAAACTTTGATTGCTTGTTCTCTTTTGTTATTTCTTTGAAACTGATTCCACACTCTCAGGTCTGCCGTGCGGGGCTTCTCTATGACCATCAGCCTGGGTACAGCTGCTGTGAAGAGAAGCACGTCTCTTTCCTTCTGAACTCCACTGACGTTTGCTGTGGTGGCCAGATCCGAGATGCACAGCCAGACCACCAGTGCTGCTTTGGGAATTACGTTAGAATTCGTTCAGGTTAGTGACATGTCTGAGTATCCTCAGCAACCTGGGGAACTTCAGGGAACACAAACACACGATGCAAGTCAGCAAACTCAAGCGTCCTCCCAGCCAAAATTGAACACCAACCGTAGTCAGCTGTGTGCTCTGAATATCACTGCATCTTTAAGCTTCCTTGACACATAGTTGGGAGCTAAAGAAAAAGGTATAGGAGACGTCTAATATCTACCATAGGGGGAAATATATATATGGAGGTCTGGTCAGCTCTTTATATCTGGAGTCTTCGTGTAGTTCATGGTCATCATTATTTCACCCTTAAACCTATGAACTGTTACCTATGATGGCTAATCCTCACTGTCAGCTTGACTCCATTTGGAGTCACCTAGGAGACAGTGCACCTTTGGTTCTGTTTGTGACAGCGTTTGCAAAGAGCTTGAATGAGGAGGGGGGTGAATGCACATTGAATACTGGAGTCCTGGATTAAATAAAAAAGAAAGCTAGGGCAAAGGCAGCTGACCATCAGCTGCAGACACGATGTGACCAGCTGCCGCATGTTCCTGCCACCATCCCTCCCTCCCATGACAGGCCCAGCTCTCAAACTCTGAGCCACAGAAACCTCCCACCTCACCTTGCTTTGGTCAGGGATTTTGTAACAGCAGTGGGCCAAGTACATCAGGCAGTGCTCTCCAAATCTGAATGACTCAGTACAGTGACCAGTGTGGCCTCGGTTTATAAAATGACATATTTCGGGTGCTTTGTGTTAATGAGTTTTCATGTAATACCTTATGTCGCCTTCATAATCCCATAACTTTCCTGCAGTTTACAAATAAGAAAACCAGGTTAGAAGAGATTGATAACACACCATGAGCCTGTATAAGAGCTGAGAAGTTAAACGGGAAAGCTGGTCTGTTTTGCCAAAATGTATGCCTCCCTTTGAAGACTTGCCTGCTTTTTTCATCAAAACATGGTCGTGATACCAGCTGTGAGGGAGCGTCCATCTCCATGATAACAGACATTGAGCAGGAGGCAGAGAAAATGGACATCGGCAGGTGTCAGCATCCATGGAGAGAGAAAAGAGGAAGCAGATGAGGGAACAGTATTGACTGGAAGGTTCAGACTGTCTCTTAATACACCAAAGAATAAGCCTTTAGCCAGGTTGCTGGACTGACCTGGGCTTGGGCATTTTTATTTTATTTATTCATTTATTTGTTTATTTTTTTAATCATGAGTGTGTATGTGTGTAGGAGGGTACGTGTGCTCGTGCACATGTGTGTAAAGGCCAAACGAGGATGTGGGCGTTCTGCTGTATCACTCTCTGACTTCTTCTCTTGAGACAGGGTCTGTCACTGAACCTAGGTTGAGCGGCAGCCACCAGGTCACAAGGCGACAGGTGGGCACAGACACTCTGGCGTTCACATGGGTGCTGAGGACTTGATTCTTCATGCTTACACAACCAGGACTCGGACCCCCCATCCACTTCCCAGCCTAAAGGTGGGCTTTCCTTTCTTCTGTCTTCAGGGACTTCCTTTTTCTTTCTCTCGCATGAATCAGCAACCAGGTTGCTTGGGAGGGATCATGGAGTCACCTTGTACCTGGAAGGCTTTGTCCCTGAAATAAGTGGATGGGAAACAGAACACATTTCCACACATGGCTGGCGAGGGAGGCTAAGAGATGAAGACAGGAACAGAGACAAAAATGGAGGGCTTCCGCCTAATGGCTACCTGGTTATGGTTTGGGGCTTCAGAATCTGTCTGCCTCTGGTCCCCCCTGTGGTCTTTGTTGACTTGATTATCTTGTCGATGCTTCTTAAGGATGATTCCAGACACCTTAACTTATACCTTAATGCTACTGGCAGAGGCATTGAAAGCATAGATATTATTTTCCATCACCTAAGTTTAACACTGATTTTTTTTTAATTATTTTATTTTATGTGTATGAGTGTATTGCCTGCATGTGGGTAGGTGTGCCCATGTCGTGTAATGGATGTGGAGGTCAGAAAAGGGCCTTGGAGTCCCCTGGAACTGGAGTTATGGATGGTTGTTAGCCACCATTGGGTGCCGGAAATCAAACTTGGGTCCTCTGCAAGAGCAGTGAGTGCTCTTAACCACTGAGCCATCTCTCCAGCCCCCTGATGTCTTTCTTAAAGCACAGAAAAATGGACGTGGAAGAAAGAGAATCTGGTTTTTGGAAGCCTTGGGAAAGCTGAGTTCTCTGAGATACATAGTTTAAAGTTTATGCTGAACATCTGCTTAATTGAGGCATTAATGTTTAAGTGTGCTTTGTATGCAATATAAATAAAGCTACCCAGGGTATGTGATGAGACACTGACTGTCCCAGGGTTCCTTTAGCAAAATGCTGGGCAAACAGAGACACTGTTGTGATTAAATAGTCTGTGAGTTTATTCGTGGTATTTGAACCTTCATTCATCCTCACCATGATCATCTTCCTTTACACTTTACAGAAAGAATATTTATTTTTACAAGTGCTTTACGTCTGATTCTGCAGCAAAAATACTTTCAGCAAAAATACTTTCATAACTGAATAAATCTGAACAATGTGTCTTATAAGAAAATATGTTGATGGAATAGGATTGTGCAGAAACGTGTTGATTGGTGATATCATAGCGCACAGTTGTTGGTAGCTGATCAGATAGTGCTCATGCTTCCTATTCTGGCAGAGAACACAGCTGGGGGCTCTCATCTAGAATTCTTCTCATTTCTTCTGTGAAAATCATTGTTTTAAAACATATGGAAATGAGGTAGGCAATGCTGGTGTTCTGTTCCTCCACATCAGTGGACCCTGTGAGGATTTTCTGAGCCCCAAACACTGCTGAACAGTGTTTTCCATTTCACGTCACTCTGGAATTTTTTATGTGATCATTTGTAACACATTATTTAAGCCCTGACAAAAATTCCTGCCCTTAAAATCAACAAGGAACACCTGTTTGCATTTATCAGCACTTTTAAAAATCTTTTTAATGTAATCTTTTTATTCTTTGAGAATTTCATACATGAACCCCATGTATTTTTAATGTGTTCACTACTCACTCCTCAGCTTCCCCAAGTCCTCGTCTAATGTTTTTTTTCAAATAAAAAACTTTATTGAGAATTTCATACATGCATAATAAGGTGTTTTGATCAAATCCATGCCCACTCCCTCCCTCCGACTCCTCCCATATCTCCCCATCACTTTTTCCTTACAACTTCATGTACTCATTTTTTTTTTATGGGGCTTTTGGCTACTCTAACATTCCCCCCTCTGAAGAGGTAACCCTAAAATCTTTAGGGATTAGATAAAAGCTCCCAAATACTTTTGACATTTGTGTCCTTTGGAACACAGGATGTTGCTAAGAGGCCCAAAGACCTTCTGACTTTTAGTCAAGAAACTGGCTAATTTCTTTAGGGTCTTTTTACCCTAACTGCCTAGCCAATTCCTGCCTCCTATTCTTCTCACACATCCTCTGAGGAGGTTACCCAACTTGCAGATAGGGAATTGGGGTGCAGACCACTCTGGCTTCTTCCATGCTGAACAGGGAAGCAGGCTGAGGCAATTGGGGTACTACTTCAGTGGTTCTATCTAAAAGACCCCCAAAATGCATATTATACTAAGTGAAGTAACACAGACTCAGAAAAACAAAAGATGTATCTTCTCCCTCATTTGTAGATCCTAGCACCAAATCCTCTTAAATTCCATGTTCTTTTAATAAGAAGATGCTGTATAGCAGTCCCTTCTGCATGAAATAACTACCATCATCATGACTTCAGCTGAGCCTGATCGCCAAACATCGTCACAACTGGGCTTGACGGTTGTGCTCCTTCATTAAAGGAGGGCCAAGCAGGGTCACTGGACCCTCACTGAATTATCCAGCCACTCATCCCAGCCAACTGTATGTATTTTGGCCCTAATCACACATGGTCTCCTGGATTTGGGGAGTTCTAAAAGTATATAATCTGGGGAAGGGTAAGAAGAGAAGGCTTGATCCATGCTGGGTAAAGGCTTTCCAGTGTGCACACCCTCAGGTCACTCATACACCTCAGCAACCCCTCAGTCATCTCTGTAAGTAAGCTCAGTAAATTCATTGGTTTTCCAGGAAGACTTTAATTAAGCATTGATTCGACACTAGACCCTTAAAAGGGGATAAGCATTTCTTAGTATCCCAGGAAAAGGATTCTCACAACACAGCAAATGGAAAATGTATTTGTTAATGCTATTATGTCTCATAATTATTTTTAAAAAGGAAAATGAGTATGTAACACGTGTCAAAAGGACATGGGAATGGAGATATTTTCCAAAATAGAAAAAATGAGAAAGCCTAAGCAAGTGATGAAGGTCTGTGTAGGTTTGTTATGATATATAAAGGATGAGACAAAAATAATATGCACATAATCTTAAATATTCTAAAGTCATAGTTTAAGTCAATTTAAGGAACAAAATACATATCTAGTAAAGGTTTATCTGAGAACATTTGGTTTTTGCCCAAGCTTTATCTACATAGCACATGGTAATTAAAAGTACCAGACTGATAGAACTAACCTTATTGGATATTTAACAGCCATATTTTGAGGCCTATACTAATCTTGTCAGAGGGACTTAAAGGACAGTTTTTGCCCCTTGCCCTCCAAGGTTGACTAAGTTCCAGGGAACTATGGAACATCTCTCAAAATGTCCTGTAACTGTGGTGAGTCACCTGTCCCCTTGTTCAGGGGGGCTGAGGAGACCCCATGAGATGGACTTGAATCAGTGTCCAGTCTGTAAAGAGGAGGGTCATCTCAGAGAAAACAGTTCCTCCATGCTTCCAAGTAAAGCCAGTCATGGTCGAGTAGGACCTTTGACTTATCTTCACATAGATGGAACTGGTAAAAGAAAGGAGCAAGGGGCTCCTCCCAAGTCCATGTGACCCCTGAGGAACAGCTCCTCAAACGACCTTAAGAGTAAAAAATAAATTGGTTTATTTGAGTCAATTGTGTGGTCTTAAACACCCAAAAGGAAAATATAACCAAAGATTAAAGTGATCAGTA